AAATGCGGAAATTCACTACCATTTCCAGTGGAAAGTTGAGAGTATAAATAGAAAAGATCAACTACTTATAACTCTTATGAAATTAAGACACAATTTTCCACATTTTGACTTGGCTACAAGATTCAAGTGTAGTAATGGCACTATTACTAACATTGTAATAACTTGGATCAATGTTTTACATAATGTACTGTTTTTACAGTGCATGAATAAAATTCCATCTAGACACAAAAACCAAACATGTTTACCTAATTGTTTTAAGCCTTTTTTGAACTGCCGAATCATTATAGACTGTACAGAAATATATACATCTGTGTCAAGGCAATCTATGAACAACAAAGAAATACTTATAGCAATTACAAACATAGAAATACTTGGAAAGTTCTTTTGGGAATTTCACCAAATGGTGTAGTTACTTTTGTTAGCAGCTTATTTCCAGGTTCTACTTCTGATAAAATTAATAACATTAAAAAGTGGGCTTTTAGATCAATTAGTTCCTGGAGATCTTATTTTAGCTGACAAAGGTTTTTTAATAAGAGATATATTACCCCCTGGAGTATCTTTAAATTTACCTCCCTTTTTAGATACTCCTCAGTTTACACCTGAACAAGTGTTACAAACTGAAGCAATAGCTAAAGCAAGGATCCACGTTGAAAGAGCGATACAACGGATAAAATGTTATTCAATTTTAAACTTCATTCCTTCTAAAATGTTGAAACAAGCAGAATAAATTTTTAAAGTTATTGCTGCACTTACAAATTTACAACATCCACTTATTCAAGAAGTCCAAGATAAAATGTAAAAAGTATAAATTAATTTAATTATATTATGTAAAATTCAATATTTTTTAATTATAGACACAACATGTACCTAAGTATATTTTTACTATAATTTTTGTGTTTAATTCTTTTATATTATAAATAATCTATAAGTGTATATACTAATGATATGGATATTTAATTTCCAATAAGAAAAGGTATGAACTTCTCAATAAAAAATTGTTCTAATACTTTAAGATTAATAAACCAGTCTGTATCCTTTTCAACTTCGGTAATCATTGTTTGATTAGGTGTCCAAATAACTAGGTAACACAATTTGCGGTTAGTTAAATATAGTTGTCCTTGAATCTGATGCCAATAAAAGTGCTTTTTGTTAATAAGAACAGAATCATTTTGTATATATACTATATAACTGTGATCGTTTATAAGTTTAATATCTAATGCTTTATTTCTGAACTTCCATGAACATTTTATCTCTACAATATAATCAGAATTTACTAAGCCATCTGGAGATGCTCCTAAAAATCCATTGTTCGCTAACCATAACACAGTTGGTACAACATTTACATTTTGTTCTTTTTCTAAAACTCTTATACCTGATTTTTCATTTGTTAAACCCCATTGAATAGCATGTATCCCACTTAAATTAGTATCATTCTTTAGTGATTTCAAAAAAGATTTTGAAAATTTATTTTTTTGGCAAGCAGATAATATTTGACCAAAATGACTTGCAGTTAATCTATTTTTACGGTAATAATGCCACAGTTCAGTTTTATTTTGACCGGTAGTTATTTCAGAAATTTGTAACCCTTTGTAGACCAACATTAAATGGTGATAGAAATTTGATTTTTTTTTTGCACCTTTATAAATTATTATTTTTTTTGATGAATTTAGAAATTAAGAAATTTGAAATTGGAGGTTTTTTAATATTTTTTTAAGGAGTGGGACAAATAAGTCCCATTGGTCATTTAAGGACTATACTTAAAAGTCCCTATGGTCCGTTACGACACTACTATTTTCTTATTCCCTATGATAAATAAGTAATAATTAGTTAAAATTTAATTAATTAATTAATTAAAAATATAATGACCATTTAAATATGTATATAATTCATGTTTCAAATTAACAACAATATAAACTTAAAGAAAATAGTTATAGTATCAAAAACTAAATGGTTAATTTTTTTATATAGCAGACTAATATTAAGAACATTGAGTGGTTACTATGTTTAATATTATAAATGTTAAATTCATAATTTATCATATAATAAGAATTTTATTAAAAACATATAAACATAATAGTAATGTACAAAAAAAAAATAATAATAATTATAATATTAAAAATGAACACATTATTTTGAATGATATTCATTAAAACATGGTTTCTTTTCATTTGAACATAAAAAAATATTACAAGTAGAACATTTAGTATATGGTTTAGATTTTATATTATTTTTGCTGCACACTTCACATCTACCACTCGTTTTACTAAATTTTAACCAGTGGGCCCCTAAGTTCCATAACCTCACATCTGAAGTTGTTGAAAACAACTGTTTGCCCCTTCTTGGTTGTAGACATGGTCTACCTTTTGAAGTCCCTGGAGATATATCCGTTGTTCTTTTTAGGCCACATTTACCTTGTGTTATTAGTCCTTGGGCAACTGCTCTTCGAAACTGAAGAACAGTTAATTTTGATTCACTAAGCTTGTTATTAATAACAAATGAATTGACAAATATAATATCAATAACACCCCAAAACAATCTATGCCACCATTTTTTTGATTTATATCTTCGATCTCACGATCGTTTAATTTTGTAAATTTATTCATTTCACCAACTAAATAAATTAAAAAAATTAACGAGTAAATAATAATTAATAAATGAACAAACAACACTTAAGAGCGAAAAAAATAGCATGCGTATAAACAAAATACTTGGCGCGCGAGTGCTTGACTGAGAATATTCGTCAAAACTATAAAAATGTCGCAATAGACCATAGGGACTTCAAAGTCCGTTGTGATTATTGTCAATAAACACATATTTATACACAATAATAATGATATTCAATGGTACGTTCTGTTTCTCGGGATTATAACGAAAAGAATAATAATAAAACCCATTGCTTATCTATACTGGTTCGCGCTGTGGCTATTTATATAAATATCGATATTTATTTTATGGGCTAAACTATATTTATTTTATTATGTGATATATTTTACGCCATCTATTGATTTCACAGAAAATTTTCGGGAACATTATTGATTAAAAATGGAGTGACTTATAAGTCACTATGGTCAGATAGTACTTAATTTATTTTACCTATGTTTAAATGGATAAAATACACAGCGGACTCAAAAGTCCCGTTGGTCGGCAAAGGGTTAAAACAATACTATCAGTAATAAAACAACTATCATTTATATAACTTCTTACTGCTTAAAAATGTCCTGCTTTTACTAATTGTTTACAAACATCTTTATTTACTACACTTTCTATAGAACTTAATTGAAATTTTAAAGATTCATTTGATTCTATATGTTCTGGTTCAGGTCTTAATAACCAAGAAAAACCAACTGGGGTAGATAAATTATTCAAATTATGTTTGAAAGTAGCAAAATCTTCATCTGAAATAATAGTAGAAGGGCTAACAAAACCACCATAAATCTGACTGATAGTTTTTACTTCATCACATATGTTACTTTTTCTAACATTCCATGAACAAGATTTGTCTGTAGAGCTAAGATTATACTGAGTATAAAGTGCTAGGGCAGCTATATGGTGGCAAACTACTTGGCCACGAGGGCATGTATATTCTGCCTCAACTATAGAACTATCATTTAACACCATCTTTACCTTATATTTATCATTCTTCATACATGGTTTGATTTCTCCTATAATTACGTTTAAATCTAAATCGGCTTGAAACTTCAAAACATGACCATCTTTATAAGCAATTTCACCTCTTTTTAATTGTTTTATATTGTCTTTAAAATACTCCGAAATAGACGAAAACGGTAAAACGTGATTTCCAGCCATTATATAGTTAAATAGGTAGTTATACAATTAAATTAATAATAATGTTTAAAAAATGAATATTTATTTAAACAAACTTCAAATTCAATCAGGAACCATCTATTAAGCCTGCCTAAACGTATATAGTATACTATATTATAAAATATTTTGATAGGAATGTTTGGATCCAATTGATAAAAATGATGTGTTGATAACAAATGTTACGTCATACTATCTGCCTGTATTGGAGCGAACAATAATAATCATAGATATTCATAGATATTTAACTAATATTTATGTAGATATTAAACTATGTTTAATATCTATAATAATAATAATATCATATCAATTATCTGTATATATTATGTTTTCTATCTCTTACAAGAGTTTTACTTTCCTTGTCACACAGAAGATGTGTGCGAGTGAGAACCATCGTTTCTCTCTCCGTTATGTTGGCCTAAACGGTGTATGTAGAATGTACAGGGTGGGGCAGTGAATCGGGCGATTTTAAAATAATTATAAAAACCCAACAAGTATTTTTTTTAAGAAATATATTTATATAACCTGAAAGTATATAAAATATCATTAAAGAAGTGTTAATTTGTTATTTAATTTTTATAAATGATGTCTGCAAGATGGCGTCCATTTCGAAGCAAGCATTCGTGAAGGCGTCTTTGAAAACTGGTCATGACGTTTCGCAGAATTTCCGGTGAGATTTGTGTCACCTCATCTCGTATTCTTTGTTTAAGACAGCGATCCTCACTACACGGCCCGCAGGCCGCATGCGACCCTCGGAACGTTTTTTTGCGGCTCTTAGACTGACTGTTAAGGATAGTTTACCTACATAAATTTTAGGGTTATTGAAACAAATATTTTTTTGAAAAAATATTCAATATTTTATAAATAGGTTCCAGTATATATTTTATATTTATACAACCAGTTTATGTACGGGTGGCAATTATCAAATGATTGTCTATTATTATCAGTAATTTCCAGAACGCCTCGAACAACAATTGAAATATGTGACCTCGACGATTGCTCGGTCGTCAGTCTTATCTTTACTGTTTGTCATCAGTGGAGAGTTTTATCTAGCTCAGTGCAAACATGTATAATTTGAACCAGTATTAATGTGATTTTAGTGCGGCTAACTTTATCAATTGAACAAATTATTTTACGAACATAACACTTAATTCAGTGATTGAATTTTGTAATTAAATATGGCGGGAGTGTACTCAAAAGAGCGGAAACGAAAACTTGAGGATGAAAACCGTGCATTTCAAGCTGAGTGGGAGGGAGATTTCTTTTTTACAAAAGGTAAGAAAGAAGGAACTGCCCTATGTCGTGAAACGGCACATGGAAACAAACGTTATAATTTGAACAGACACTACACTTCAATTCATTCACAGTTTGAAGAAAAATTCTCGAAAAAATCTAAGATCCGAGAGGAAAAATTGCAATCATTGAAAAAGTCCTTTGCTTGTGAACGTAGTACCCTTTTAAATGCAATGAACAAGAATGAGCTTACTACAAAAGCATCCTACCAAGTAACAGAAATTTTAGCACAAACGATGAAGCCGTTTTCTGATGCAGAAATTGTAAAAGAGTGTGTTGTCACCGTTTGTAAAACTTTGTTTTCACACTTACCTAATAGTAAGCAAATATTAGATGCAGTTTCTAAACTTCAGCTGTCTGACTCAACTTGCATGAGACGGTCACAAGACTTAGCAGCAAATATTGCACTTAACATTACCGATGAACTTCAGCAAAGCAAATGTTTTAGTCTTGCACTCGATTCATCCACTGACATAACGTCAATTTCTCAATTACTATTGTTCGTTAAATATGTATCCAAGGATTTTGTTGTTAAAGAAAATTTTTTGGGCATGATTCCCATGACTGGACAAACTCGAGGTGTTGATTATTTGAACACAATAGTAAATTTTTTTAAAGAGAATTTGAAAAAGGTTTTTTCTGTGTGTACTGATGGTTGCCCATCAATGTTAGGCCGGAATATAGGGTTCGTTCAGTTGTTGAAAAAACATTTGGAAAACGATAATTTATTAAGCTTTCATTGTATTATACACCAAGAAAGCTTAGCTGTTAAATTTAGTGAAAATTTCAGCTGTGTTATGAAACAAGTTGTAAAGATCGTGAATTTTATAAGGTCAAATGAACTGAACCACAGAACGTTCCAAGAGTTTTTGAAAGAACTTATATCACAATACGGGGACGTGCTTTACCATACAGAAGTGAGATGGCTGAGTAAGGGTAAAGTTTTGGAACGTTTCTTCAGTATTCGTCATGAGATTACTCTGTTTTTAGTTACAAAGGAAAAAGAGTATCCTGATGTTTATGATTTTAGTTGGTGGCTCAAAGTAGCGTTTCTCACTGATACAATGGGCATTATGAATGAAACACTGACTCGATTGCAAGGACACTACAATAACATTGTAACGAAAATGATTAGTATTGTGTTTTCACAGGAACAAAAACTCTATATGTATATCGAAGAATTGTCAAACAGTGATTATTTCAGCTTTCCTTCTGTTAAAACTTTGTTTGATGAAAATCCAGATGAAAGTCAAGATTTTTCTGATTTAATAAAGCTGTTGACAGATCTAAAGAACGAAATGTCTTTGAGGTTTAGTGATTTTAGGAAGTATCAAGAACCATTTCGCTTGGTGGAAAACCCATGGTCAATTACAACAGTAAATATAGCTCATCTTTCTGTTTTTGGATACGAAGCTAGGGATTTGAAAAATGAGTTAATTGATCTTCAGCATGATACGGAGCTCAAAAGTGTTTTTGAAGAAAAAAAGAAGAATAATGCTCACTACGAATTCTGGAAAGCAGTTGAAAAGGACAAATTTCCTAACTTAATTGACTGTACTCAGAAGATTTTGTGTGTTTTTGCATCTACGTATGTCTGTGAATCTACATTCAGTAAGCTGAAATTCATAAAAAACAAGTACAGATCCAGGTTAACAAGTGAGAACGTTGACAACATTTTGAGAATTTCAGTTTCTTCTCAACCTGCAACATAGATGCCATATTAGAGAGTTGTGAAAGATTTCGCCATTCGACTTCAACGAATTAATAAATTCAAGTAGGCCAAGACATGAAATTAAGTAAAAGACATTTCCCTACTTTTTTATATGCTAAATGTTAATTTTTTTGATGTAATAAACTTATGTTATAATCATATTGTTTGTAAGTTATTTAACGCCACTTCATAGTGTATTATAATAATAAGAAAAATATATTTTGTAACTAACCTATACCGTTTAGGTTTAGGCCCTGACTAAACTGTACAATTTGTACTTGCGGCCCTAATGAAAATTTGATATGAACTATTTGGCTCTCTCAGAAATCCTAGTGAGGACCCCTGGTTTAAGATAATCAAGTGTCCTTAGTGGTGTTTGGTATACTCTACTTTTGATATACCCCCCACAGAAAAAAATCACAGACCGTTAAATCAGGCGAACGTGGAGGCCATAGAATATTTCCATTTAGAGAAATTATGCGGTTCGGAAACAAATCTTTTAAAATATTCATGCTCACTCTAGCTGTATGACTCGTAGCCCCATTTTGTTGAAAAAATCCAGTCACTCCATATTGAGCAATTTGTGGAATAAAAAAATTTTGCAACATCTGTGAATATCGCTCTGAATTTACGGTAACTGCCTCTCCACGTTCGTTCTCAAAAAAATACGGCCCTATGATTCCTGAAGAAGATAAAGCGCACCAAACCGTTACTTTAGAGGAATGCAGTGGTCTCTGATGAAGTTGACGAGGGTTTGTGTCACTCCAGTACCTAAAGTTTTGCTTATTGGCGTATCCGGATAGATGAAAATGAGCCTCGTCACTCATCCATAAGTTGTGGACAATATCTTCATTTTCATTAATCAAAGCTAAAAATTGTTCACAAAAACTTCTTCGACTAACATAATCATTTTCATTTAGAGCTTGAACCACTTGAATTTTGTACGGATGATGATGAAGATCATCATGTAAAATTCTCCTAACGGTTCGGTTAGATAATCCGAGTGTAGCGCTATGACGACGTGCCGACCGACGGGGGCTTCTTCCAATTGCTTCTCTTACTCGTTCAATATTCTCTCGAGTTCGAATATTTCGTTTTCTTCCACCTCTTCTTTTAATTGTTGTGCCACTCTGTTCAAAATTGTTCACCCATAATTTTATTGCGTGGGCCGACGGCACTGGGTGATTACGATTAATGCCGAAATGAGCGCGGAAAACACGCTGCGCTACCACGAAACTAGAGCTGTTTAGATAAAACGCTTTTACAGCGAACGCACGTCGTTCTGCAGTCCAACGATTCATGATAACTAAACGCTTATTTATGGTGAACATAATTTTATAGTTGTAGTATGCACATATCAATTACAGGGCTTTCCGTATTTATTTTTAAATCGCCCGATTCACTGCCCCACCCTGTATAAAGGAATGCCATATCCATATGATTAATATCTATGGTTCCACAATCAAAAATTTCATGATATAAGAAGATAAACAAAAATTGATACCTGTGATCAAATTGACATTTATTGAACTTATTATCATATTATAATGATAGACAGGTAATTTATATTCTTGATTATTTATATATTACATTTTTAAATAAATCAATGTATGATATTCAAAATAAAAATACGAGCTATAAGGAAGGTGGCAAAGCCTCCTTCGCTTCCCCTCAAATATGTCTCTTGAGTGATGACGTTGAATTTTCTATGCAAACACGATTGTTGATTGCATTAGCATTTATTGCAACAATTAATGTTATTCATATCATCGAAGAACTTATTTTTTCAACTTCCTTTTTGCAAATGAAGAACTTATTAACTTCAATAATCAATTATTTTGAAGATTCGTGGTTTGGGCGATCAAATCGTAACAATTGGAGATAATAATTTATTCTGTACTTGTATACTAATAACAACTTTTATAAAGTATTTGTACAATAATAACAACATATTATGATTACAATAACATATTTTTAAATATTATTTAATGTTTTATGAGAAATATTTCTATTAGATATTTTTAAACGGAGAAATTTTGTACCATAGATATTTTTTACTGAAGATATTTTTGACTAGAGATATTTTGACTGGTCACGATTATTAAAAGTACCAAAAAAAAAAAACATTATTCTATTTCCATTACATTAAAAAAATAATAATATTATTATTCCCTTTCATGGCCTGTATTATGTAATATATTCAATTATGTAGAATTTAGATTTCATATGATAGGTTGCTATTTTAATTTGCATCACTGTTAAAGTGATAATATTGAATAAAATAATATACATATTCAGGCGTACAGCACTACAGCAAACAACTTATTATGAGTTTAAAATATGAGCTATCGTAATTTGTGTTTCGTATTTGTGTAATGTCTTTCTGATTCATGTGTATTGTATTGTGTACAGTGTTGTAAAAAATTCTTTTAAAAAATATTTGAGTAATTACTCAAATATTTATAAAATAAAGTATTTAAAATAACACCCAAATACTATCTATAAAAAAGTATTTGAATATTACTCAAATACTTTTTAGAAGTATTTGTAATAATTTTCAAATATTTACTCAAATACTTTACAACACTGCTAATGATCAATTGGACATTTGCTATTCGTAGTTCGTACACAATACACCCAAAAACATTATTATTTTCTAATAAAATTATGTGTTAAGTGCCAACCGTTTGATCCGTGATTTCAGTGCTAACGTCTCAGTCAACGCTTGGATGTAGGTGTAGTGAAGAATAATTAAGACTCTTTATAATAATTTAATTTATTAAACTTATAAAATTATTCTAACTACAATTTTGTAAATATTCTAAGTCCAAATAATTTTGATTATAGAAATTATTCTAAGTCCTAACAATTGTAACTTATAAAAATAGTTTGAAATATTTCTAAGTCCGGACCATGACATACACTGACATGAAGGTGCTCAGTGCAGCATAGCCAAAACTCGTCTGATTTGCCCTTGTTTTCGGGTCCCTTTTATATCTGATATATGCAAATGTGTGTGTGTATATGAAAACTGATAATAAAATAAGATAATTTCCTATGAATTCTGTATTTGTGAATTATCTCTCGACCGGCCCATATTCAGTGACGCACAGATCCAGGATGTGGTTACTGTCGCTCTTATTACTTATTTTAATTTAATAATCTAAATTATCCACGGTTGTGGTTTTGATTAACTAAATAATTATGTTTAGTTTTGATTAGCTAAGTTATTGTAAATAGAATATGTGTAACCATCCATAGAAGTGTTCACAGGAACTCCCTTATTATGTAAGTGTTCATGTGTGACTACGCAGGACGCGACACTTCCCTACCTAAAAAATTAATTTATGTTTAAAAAACAGAAATTAATTCCTTATAGTTATAGTTTTACAATTAGTTACAAGTTTACAATTTTACAATGATTACAGCAATTTACAATCAATATAAGTTACAGTATTAATAGAATGACATTATTACAAATTTTCAATTGTACAGTAATTTTATGAAGGACTTAAAAATTTACAATATAATAATATTACAAATAATAAATAATTATGTGATAAAATATTTTTTGATTACATAATGGTTACAATATAATGTGATTAATTATGTTTATAATATAAATGTGATTAAATGTTTACAATATAATTATTACTTCCGTATAGGAAATATTACATTAATAATTATTATTTCCATATAGGAAATATTACAATAAAATGTGATTAATTAATTTAGTGTTAGTTTAAATAGGTTAGTGTTACATATATCTTGAATTAAATTTTTTTTTTATAATAGTGGTTAGTATTACTTATTTTTTTTTATTTTTTTAGATACATATCGATGGTGTTTTGTTGAAAGGGCGTATACATAATTGAAATTGTTTAGGAGGAACAAAATAGTGTTTTGATAATTTGATGACAATTATCATTCAAATGCTTAAACATATGTGAATTATATTTATTATCATTCAAAGTGATAGTAGTCATGGTATGCGCCCTTTTATAACATATATATTCGAACACCCATACTTTAAAAATGTACACGTATGGTATACGCCCTTTTAGCATTACAAATTTTTTGAAAGCCTCTGTACAACTTATAATATTCAATGTTTTATTATAACAATAATAGTCAACAATAATTATATAATAATATTATTATTTGTATATTAATTTATTTAAAATGGTTGGAAAGTAATCAAAACAAAATTATTTTTAATTTCTTTTATTAATAATATTATAAAAAAACAATTAATATTGTTAATAATTTTAAAAATAATTATAAAATATTATAATCAGGGCTAGGATTTGTATGCAATAAAAAATTGTAAAATATGCATTTCATTTACCAAAATATGCAAAAATATGCATTTAGATTTTTATAAGATAAACACAAAAATATAGTTAAAAAAAAATATTTGTTTGTTGAAATATATCAGTAGTTGGATTTTTTTCTTAACCCTACAATGCATGATTTTTTATATTTTTATTTTTTAATATTTTTGGGTTGTTATATTAGTTCTAATGAAGGGCAAATTACTTAAAAAAATTTTGGTATTTTAAGTCTCTAAAAAAACCAATTTTTTAGTTTGTAGTCAATGAACAGCGCTATGTATTTACGTACAACATAATTATTTATTAAATTTATAAATGTAATTTATTCATATACCTATCTTGAAAAGTTATATCGTTTATTCATTAACTATAAATATAAGAAAATAATTGGTTAACTTACCAATTACAAAACAAAGTATACATTTTTAAAAATGTAACTTACTATAATGTAATTGAAAAAAAAATAAAAAAAATAATTTAAAATAAATTTTATGTTTGACAAAAAGAACCAAGTTTTATACTTTAATCAGCAGGTCTAGAATTAAATACGAAATATTAATTACAAAATATGCTAAAAAATATCAATTTTTCGCATTCTTATAATCGAAATATGCAATAATATTTATTTTATTCAATATATGCAATAATATGCATTTTATCTAAAATA